CATAGATTTCTTTTTCATTGGAATGTTGGTGAATAATTACTGTGTTCTTTTGGAAGTGTTATGTTTCCTTGCTTTTTTATGTTTCTTGTGTTCTTTCATTGGTATCTGTGCATCTAGTATAATAGTCACTTCTTCAAATTTTATGGATTGGCTTTCATAGGGAAAATACTTTTTCCTATAGATATATCTATTCTTTTGGTTGGGTCCAGCCCTTTGGGTTTGATTCTGGGTGGGTACAGTAGCATAGTTTCTGTATGATTTCTTGGGCTGTAATCAGTGTCATTTGTGTCTGTGAGCTTCTCAATGGCTTAGGCTGTGGTGGTTAGTGGAAGCTGTAGTAGAACTTTGTTGGGGATGAGGACACCAGGTAGAGGCCAGTCCTTGGACAACAGCAGGCTGAGTGTGCTGATCCTTAGGGCTTCAGGCAGCGTTCTGTGCACCAAAGGTAGTGAGTCTGGACAGGCTGATCCTTAGGCCTCCAGGCAGTTTACTTTGGTGCCAGCAGTGGCAGCAGTGTGCTGGGTGAGCAGATGGGTCCTTGAGCCCCTGGGCAATGTGTTTTGGTGATGGTAGGAGCAGCAGTGGGCTATCCCTCTGGCTCCCAAGCAGCACGCAGAATGCTTATGCAGGTGGGGGGTTGGGGTGGGTCATTCTCCAGGCTCCCTGATGGTGCACTTGAGTGCAGGCTGTGGCGAGTGGGGTAGGCTAATCCCTAGCCCTCAGACAGCGTGCTTGGGTGCCATTCGTTGTTGTAGCAGTGGAAAGCTGTGCAGGCTCATCCTTAGGCCCCAGGAAGGTGTGCACGAGTGACAGATGGGCAGGTCTGCTTTCAGGTTCCCTTCATGGTGTGTGGGGGTGCCAGTGGCAGCAGCTAGGGAGGGCATAATGTAGCATGCATATATGAATATATATAAATAAATTTTGTCTGTGGGGAATAATTGGCATGTGACTTCAGAACTTCTTGTATTTTCCTTTTATATATTGAAGAACTAAGTATTAAATAAACAGAATACAAAAAATAAAAACTCAGTGATGCATGCCTTGTTGACCTTGTGCTCTTTCCCCTATCCTTTTATCCCTCTGCAAATAGGCATCGGGGCAATAACATCATTACTAGTTGGGTAATAGTTTATAGACTTGTTTTCAAGACCAGACTGCTAGGCCCTAAGTATCTTCAAACCCTCTATTTCAGGAAGTTAATTTTGATTTAGTTGAATGGTTTTATGGAAGCTGGTTGTGCATATGAAGGAATACTCACATATCATTTATGCTTTATAAATAGCAACACAGACCACTATTTAAAATCCTAAAAATATTTGTGATTCATAACTCAAAATTGTTTTCTCTGAATCATTTGTAAATTTTCCCTTGGTCTATAATAGATAGATCAGAATGAATGAAATTCTAAACCTCTACCCTCTGTTTTTGCTGTATCAGACATTCTTAGCCCTAATAAAAAATATTATGAAGGTTTGACATTGACTCTAGGAGGGATTGCCCAAATACATGTGATTCTTAAGGTAAATGTTTCTGTTGTCTACAGTAGAAATACAATGCAAGTCACAAATGTGAACCACATGTATAATTTTGAATTTTCTAGTAGCCATATTAGAAAAGTAATAACAGGTAAAATTAATAATATATTTTAAACTAGTATGTTCAAAATATTTCAACATGTAATCAGTATTAACAATTATTAATGAGATATTTCTTTTTGTATTAAGTCTTGAAATCTAAGGGGTATTTTATACTTCTAGCATATCTCAATTTGAACTAGCCACATTTTACTTATTACATAGCCACATGTGACAGGCAGCTACTGTATTGGATAGTCCAGGCCTACTGCAAAAGTGCATAATCAGTACATCAGATTGTAGAGCTTTTTCTTAAAGCTTTCCATACTGCCGTGTCTCATCCCTCTGTGTCAGTGGTCCTATCTCCCCATCCCTCTTCACAGTCTTTCTCTGCCTCACTTCCATCTTCATCCCATATTATCCTCTCTTTGACACTTTCTCCCTTTTATGCCACATATCCTCTCCTTCTTTCTGTCAAGCTCTCTTGGAAGGTTTGCTGAGATTCTTAGGAGAGAAAGTTCCATTAACAGTATGATATCCTACCTCCACACAAAAAAATGTGTTACTGAGGAAATGTGAGCTGATCCCAACAATATCAGTACCCTGGGGGAAATGAAGTTCTTCCTCCTCTAGGAAAAGTTAGGAATCTCTAGTGATAGTGGATTCTGAGTGATAGAGGAAGAACTGATCAGAAGTATGTAACTCGTAGCCTTCATTTGTTTCATGAAATGTAGAATAAGAATTATGATTTTTGCTATTATTAACAGTTTTTAATCAGTGTCAGAAGCCAGATGTTTAATAGGTACCTCAGAAATGAAATATAAGTATACAAGTTTAGCTTTGCTGACTAGGTTAGAGCAAAGGAGCATAATCAAATTTTCTTACCAGACTATCCTGTCGTTTCTTTCCTTTTTATACCCCCCCCCCTTTTTTTTTGATACAAAGTCTTGCTCTGTAACCCAGGCTGGAGTGTAGTGGTACAGTCTTTGGCTCACTGCAGCCTCGACCTCCCGGACTCAAGCTATCCTCCAGCCTCAGCACTCCCACTCCGAGTAGCTGGGATTACAGGTGTGTGCCACCACATTCAGCTAATGTTTTGTAATTTTTGTAGAGGCAGGGTTTTTCCATGTTGCCATGTTGCCCAGGCTGGTCTTGAACTCAAGCAATTTGCCTTCCTGGGCCTCCCAAAGTGCTGGGATTACAGGTCCGTGCCACTACGCCTGGCCTATAACATTTCTTAGGATTTATATTTCTAAGATATTTTGTGATTTACATTGTATCTTTCACAATGTATTATTTAGCCCCAGTTTATAAATGTACAAACATGCAGTTCCTTGTTTTGTTCGGGTTTTGGAAAGTAACTCAAAGTCAATGCAGAAAATGAAGAAAACAATTTTACAATAACCTCAAAAAGAATAAAACATTTAGGAATACATTTAACAAAAGAGATATAAAACTTATACTCTGAAAACTGTAAAACATTGTTGGAAGAAATTAAGGACTTAGAGAAATGGGAAGACACCCCATGTTTATCTTCTGGAGAACTTAATATTGTTCACATATTTCCTAAGTTGATTTACATATTCAGTGGAATCCCAGCTGCTGGGTTGGCAGAAAATTTTTTGCAGAAATTGACAAGCAGATCCTGAAAATCTGTGGAAATGCAAAGTGCCCTAAATAATCAAAAGTGATTTTGAAAAGAACAAAGTTGGAGGACTCAGGCTTTATAGTAAGCTTCTTGATTTCAAACAGTACTATAAAGCTACAGTAATCAAAACAGTGTGGCACTGGCATAGGGATTGAGTTGCAAGTTATCTCAGACTCCTTTTGTCCCTGGCCTCTGAGTTATTCCAAACTGTTAACACTAATCTACTCTAGATGTTTAAGAATTTATTAAAAGTTTAGCTGATATCTTCTTGGCCCACTTATGTGGTGATCACTTCTCCCAGTGGTCTGCCAAAGGCAAAACAGTTTATGTATTCTGTTTCTCTTTGGGAGAGACTTGTCATTATATGGATTTTAAGATAACCAGTTTCCCTTGTTATCTTACAAACTCAGCTCTCTGGTAAACTCAAGAAAAGTTATGATTTTATAGATCAGCTGGTCTTTTCTCTTGTTACGGTGGGAAGAACATTCTCTTCTGCTTTCTACATCCTAAGCAGAGTGGAACTAATATGGGGTTTGGCATGTAACAGACTTAGCGCTTGGTTAAAATTGGTTTAAAGTGGGTTGAATTTACTGAATACTTATGTGCCAAGCAGTATGCTAAGCATTTGCCATATCATCTCCTTTAGTCCATGCACTTATCTATGAAGTGTAGATATTGTTATTATTCCCATGTTTTACATGTAAAACTGAGGCTTAGTAGAGAAAAGGAACTGGAGTACAGGAATAAATAATAGTTTTTATTGATATTATCCAAGTCATCTTCCTCCTTCTCCCAAAAAAACTCTTGAATCCATTTTTCAACTTCTCCAAGGAAAGGAGATATATATTCCTGGCATTGCAAGTTCTTATTTTCCTCAGTTGATGGGAAAAGAGACACAGTATTAAAATCAGAGAAGGCTTGAAGGGACCTCCTTGAACTTTTGATTAACAGAGAGAGAGAGAAAAAAAAATTATCTTAAGGATCTGGTGGCTTTGGGTCATCAGCAGCGTCTAGGTTTTATAACAGGTGAATGACAGAATGACTGTCATGGCTTTGCTGCCACTTTTCACTTTCCTGTTTTCTTTCTTTTGCTTCCAGTGTGAAGTTCAACTTTTTTTATAGGGTGGTAGAATTTTAATTTGTTACCTCCTTTATTAATTCCTTCACTAGCCTGTTATATGCACATTCCTTAAGGTAGGTCTCGTGCTAAGGACATTAAGTATAACTACTTGTACCACTTAATTTGTCTCAACAAATGTCTTTGTAAGCTGTCTCCTCACCCTTTAATACATTCAACAAAAAGTGAAGTAAAAAAGTTTTTTTTATTTTTATTTTTTAATTTTCTTCATTTTTGTTCACTTCCAGAAAAGAAACTATGATATGAGCCTGGTCAGTAAGCTCAATTAAAACAAATATTATTAATTAATCTCTTCAGCTATTATCTGAGCATCAGTTTCCAAGATGTACCATTTATAACTCACCACAGTATTCAGTCTGTGTTTTCTCGTGTGCTGGTTAGAGATGCAAGTTGAGTTTCATGCATTGCCTGTCTGCTGGAATTTTAACATTTTTTCAACTGTTCCATATGTATAGTATAAACTGGGTGATAAGCACCTGATCATTATTGTATCTATCAGTAGAATTAATACAGAGACTATGCCAAAGGTTGAGGAATAAGAACATGTAGAGAAAGGGAGGAGGATTGTTTATATATAGGAATATATTTTACAATAGCCAGGTTTAATGTAACCAGCACTTATGTGCTTCTTCCTTTCTAGTTATCAGGGAATACGAAGGGCAGAGAGAGCATCCAGGAACCTAGATTTGATTACTACAACCATGAAGTTCCTGATATTGACCTCAGTGATTGTGAATTCCCACATGTCATTGAAATTTATGACTTTCCCCAAGAATTTCGTACTGAAGACCTTCTGCGGGTTTTCTGCAGTTATCAGTGAGTATGCAAATGATTGTGGATGTTAGGGATTGTGAGATGAAGTCTTTAAAAAATGTTTTCTGAGAAATCATCTCTTGTTTTTCATATCCCCTGTTTTTCATATTTTAGCATCAGGCTGGTTTATTGTCTTTTCCAGGTCCAGTAGAAACTTTCTATATTAAACTACTGTTCTAAGCTCCTTAAAAATGTCAGATAGCCTTTCTAGCCCCCATTTTAGCATTTAAGAAGACTGTCATCAGTGATGACTTCATGGTGCATTTAGTCCATTGATATTTATTGTAATTGTTGATATATTTGGATGTATTGTCAAATTGCCTGCCATCTTTATGTGTTTACTTGTCCCATCTTTTTCTTTCTTGCTGCCTTTTGGGGTCACTGCAGCCTCAACTTCCTGGGCTCAAGCAATCCTCCCAGCTTAGCTTCCCAAGTAGCTGGGACCACAGGTGTGTGTCACCATGCCCGACGAATTTTTGTATTTTTTTTGTAGAGACAGGATTTCACCATGTTGCTGGGTTAGTTTCAAACTCCTCCACTTAAGCCATCTGCCTACTTCAGCCTCCCAAAGTGCTGGGATTAGAAGTGTGAGTTACCATGCCTGGCCTCAACTAAGTTTTTACAGACACAATAACTCTTCTTTTTTATGCTCTGCACCTGTTTCATTGGTTTAATTTTATTTAATTCCATGGTGAAAATATCAACTCACACTGATATAAGTGGGTTTGAGAACACTTGCCCTAACCCTTGGTGTGTGTATAGCTGATACTTATATAGGAGACGTTAAAAGAGTTAGAAGTATATACCTCTGTATATTTAGCTTACAAGAAAAAATAAGCTTCAGGAATAAAGAGATGATAATCTAGAAAGAAAGTTATTAAGATTTTCAGGGTCTGGAAGAAAATCAGTATCAAGAAGGATTATACTTTAATGTTTCAGCCCTGGTATTTAAAATGAACCAGGTCTGTAGTGTGATATAACAAATTTAAATTTAAAATTCACCTTGAATGTGTAAGATTCTGTTATAAGTCAGGGTATAGCCCTTAACTTTCTCTTAAAGGATAAGTAAATATTTTAGACAGCTCTGCCATTGTTAAACAGAAGCAAGCAAAAACAGCACATAAATGAGCATGGCTGTAAACTAAAACTTTATTTATAAGAACAAGTGTTCTGTTTTCATATGAAGTTCTAGAACAGGCAAAACCAGCAGCCATGTACTTGTTTAATCAGTTAAACGTAATTCGGCGGGGAGCATCAGTTCTATAACTAACAGAAAGAAAGGGTGAATGGATCCTGGAGGACAGTTAATCTCTGCCATAAACTTTAAATGTAGAGTGTGTAGGTCAGTCTTATTTATTAGAATTAGGTTTGGATCTAGTATCAGAACCTGTTCAACATAAAATTCATAATAGATTTTTTAAAAGCAGTCAGAGGGATCCAATCCCATTAGAACTACCTTAGACTGTCATAAATGATGATTCATAAAACCAAGGATCATTTTGTTGATGTCTAGAATTTCGTGAAGATTAGTTAACTCTTATAAAACTATTTACTTCCCTTTGCTTTGTTTCTTGATAATCTCACCTGCAAGACCATTTTTCTATCAAACTTAAAAACATTCTCCAAAGAGAAAAATTTTATAGGGTTATGAAATTTTGAAGTAGAAAAGGCCCTCTGGAACCCATCTGTGATTTATAAAAATGAAAAAAAAAGGTCATGGTGCAAAAGCCTGTAATAATGCCTGTGAGTCAAATTACAGAGTCAGCTTCATGTTTTAATCACCATCTTCATCAATATTAATATTGATGAATATTGCTATTAATAATAAAAGTAATGAACACCATTAATTTATTAGATGCCCATGAAGTGCTCAACACCATCTTCTTTGCCTTGTCATGGATGATCTCATTTCCATTTTCACAACAGCTCTGTGGGGGACATACTTTGCTCATTTTTACAGATGAGCCAACCTAGCTTCAAGAGAGGTTAAACTTGCCCAAGGTCTCAAGGTGGCAGAAGCCTGAGTCCATGAGCATTTTTAAGCTCTTAGCTGAAAAATATAACTGTTATGTCATCATCCTGACATTCCTTGTGCTCACTAGGTAGCTCTTCTCCAAAATAAAAGTGTTTCTGTAGTACTTAAATGTTCATTCTTTTGATCGTTTCTAATCTGGTCTGATATTTCTCTTATCATGATTTCTTTCATCCTGAATTTTTCTGACTTTGCCACACAATTCTTTCCTATATTTTTCTTATTTTTTTAACCTCCCTTCTGCAACAAGTGAAGAACAGATCAGCCTCTCTGATTATAGTTGCCCCCTTTTTTCCCCATTACTTGACTTTTTAAAAAAAAAATTGAATGACATCTTGCAGTATAATCTCCCCTACCCCATTCTTGCATTCTGTTTCTGTCTCTGTCCTCAAGGACAGAGTTTACATTTGCATTAAATCCAGGTGACCTTCCCTGCCTACCTACTCTTCTTATATTCTAACCCTCCTCTGCTTCCGCTTTCCATTTCTTCTCATTCCCTGCCCATAAGAACGTCTCTTGTAAATAGTGCATTAAATACTTTACATCCCCAAGGGACTTGTGAGGATTAATTAGTTGATGTCTATAAAATGGCTGAGAACGTAAAATACTCCTGGGTAGTTCTTTATGATGGTATTATTGCTTTTAAAATTCAATGGCTTCTTCTGTCCTCCAAGCTGTTTTTGGTGTCATTATCCCCATTCCACCTGTGCACTCGTTGAGTGTTTCTATCTTGTGAAATGCTTTATGAGATTCTATTTGTGAGATGTTTCATAAAAGTAAATTTTATTTTAGGAAATAAAATTTTTTTTGTGTGTTGCAGAAAGAAAGGATTTGATATTAAATGGGTGGATGATACACATGCCCTAGGAGTATTCTCCAGTCCAATTACAGGTATTCACCCAATGGCTTTCAATCTTCCTTTCTTATTGTTCATTTTCTCATGCTACTTTTTCTATTTCCCTTCTATTTGAGAAAGTTGGCATTTTATTCAGCCAGTGTAGGTAATAGGACAGATAGTGGTTTTTTTGAAGTAAGATACTTTGGTACCCATTCTCCTCTTTCATGTTAGTCCAGTGGTATTTGGAGAGATAGAGTCAACACCTTTCAAGGTTATTTGTACACATAACTGTCATGATAGTACATAAACAGATTAAGGTAGCGATTGAAGAATCCAATGGGGCTAACTCTTACAATACTGGTGATTTTTTTTTCCCCATCCCAGACAAGTGAATTTAAGTAACACTTTAACCTGTCTAGTGAGAAGTTATAATACATACTCTCTGAATATATGATTGGGCCTTTTTACATACATCATTGGCCTCATGACAGATCTGATGCAGAGGCATTCAAAGAAAATAGAGATATTAAAATGTTAGTTCCTGTCTGAACCACCTAGAATATGGGTCTGCAAAATTATTATATAAAGGACCAAACAGTAAAAACAGTATTTTAGGCTTTGTGAAGCATCAGTCTCTGTCACTACTTAACTCTGCTGTTGGAGCAAGAAACCAGCCATAGACAATATACAAGCCAAATGGGCATGGCTCTGTTTCAGTAAAATAATAAAATTACTTTGTAAATAAATATAAAAACAGGTGGTTGGCTGCATTTGGTCACAGAGCCATAGTTTGCTGATACCTCATCTAAAATAATTACTGCCTCTAGATCTTAGTCTCTTTTGCTTGCTTTGAAAAAAAAAAGCATAACATCTAGGAAATACTAAGAGCCATCCCTAGTTGTTCCTTTGCATCACTGTACTTCATGTCTTCTGCTTCCTTTTATTCCTCTTTGCAGCTCGTGATGCGTTGGGTATTAAACACACCATGGTGAAGATTCGTCCCTTGTCACAGGCCACAAGAGCAGCCAAGGCCAAAGCTAGAGCTTATGCTGGTGAGTCTATAATCTCAGGGTTTTTTCTTGCTGATGGTGGTATTATTATTCTTTCCAGCAGTTTTATAGCATCCAGACATCTAAAGACATATCACTTTTATTTTTAGTGTTAAAAGAAGTATGTTTTTAAGAAAAAATAAATAAAAGAGAAATGACCATGTTGGAAATATGGCATCTGAGCGGCCACTTGGAGAGTCTGAGAACTAACGGCAGGCAATGCAGCAACCAGTTTCTGATGACATCCCTACCTAGTTTACCTCTGTGTTTAACTGCCTGATAGAGTCACTGTAAGATACTGTGTTAATGCAGATAATGAAGCCAGGGTTGTTTGTGCTTTGCCATGTTAATTTTCTCTGATCGTCATCTATCAGGCTTGTATTAATTACTGCTGAAGCAGCCCTTGTTAGTCTATTTTGTATGTTAATTACTGAGTTAAATCACTTGAAGCTGGAGTGCTCTCTCTTCTTTACTCCCTCCTACTCCCTTCCTTTCTTCCATTCAGAGTTCCTCCAGCCAGCAAAGGAGCGTCCTGAGACTTCAGCAGCCCTAGCCAGAAGGTTAGTCATCAGTGCCCTTGGGGTTCGAAGTAAGCAGAGCAAAACCGAACGAGAAGCAGAGCTCAAGAAACTGCAAGAAGCCAGAGGTGAGCTGAAAGGATGGCGTTCTTCTCTAGTCCCTTTACAGCTCACTATAAGGCGTGTGTTTAAAAAAAAAAAAAGAATGAAGCCCATTCCATTTTGTCATTTCTGTTTCCTAGAAGCCTCCTAAGTGTGTAGAAAGTCTCATGCCTTACGTTCAGGAGAAGACGTTTCAGGATTTGTCTGCCTGTTTCACACACCAAGACGTCCTAATCCACGCTCCTGCTGTTGTTTTCCAAGAGATATGTTTGGTCTTCTCAGCCCATCCATGGCTTTTCCTACAGTTTTTCTCTGAGAAAAATTTTCCTGTGAAAACTTATAGTGTCCTAGGCAGAAAACATTTGCTATGGTTTTACTGGGCCACAATTGCCATGATATTGCCCTAATGTTATCAAATGGTTTAGATCTGAGGTAGAAGACAAATTTAGGAAAAACCAGCAACTGACATTGATGATAACAACTGTAGGAGGTATTTTTGTCTTTTTAAGGCAGTCCTGAGTGGCTCCATTAGAGTACATCTAGATGTACCTGTCTTCTGATTATTTTCCATTATCCAAGCGTTCTCAGAAAAATATTTCCCCTGATCCACAAGCAGAATTTTTATTTTCTTATAGTTTGGGGTTGAAGTTAAAATCTCTCTGTCTCCTCTACAGGCTGTTGAATTGTATGTAAAGGCTTGGGACTCTGGTGTGGCCCTTAATTACTTTTTATCAACCTTCAGGCTTTAGACAGTCTCATTGCCTTAGCCCACAATCCCTGGAATCTGTGAAGGCAATTTATTCTGAAAACTCCACTTACCGAAAAGTAACTTCATTTTTCCGTTAAATGAATTGAAGTTTCAAACTCCTTGTTTATTGCTGGCCTAACAAGGCCATTAATACTTCCTATCCTCTCTGCTTTGGTGATAGCAGGCAGCTTGCAGACTCTCAGCTGCACTGGCCAGATAACCAGTGACAGAGTGTGTCATGGCAAGTGCTAGAGTTTCAGAGTTGAACCCAACTAATTTTTGAAACCTTAATGACTATAATGAGGCAGTTTTGATGTTTTCCAATTATTGTTTACTCAAAGGCCTCCTACGGACTATAGAAACATAACTGGGTTCCTTGGGTTTTTATAGATGGCAATAACAGAACTAGATTAAAGATGAATGTGCAGTGTCCTTAACCCTTTGTTAATTGGTTGTCTCTGAAGAAAATGATTTCTGTGTGATGACAGTGATATCTATAAAAAGGGATATGACTCCCTTTGCCATGTTATCATCCTTCTCTGTGGGTGTATATCACCTGTATCTCTACAGATCCTGCAACAGTGGTTTTGCGTGGATATCATCTTGAGTATTCCCTTTTCTTTCTCTAGGCGCATCAGCATGCAGCTCCACTTGAAGTATTTGTTTTAAATGTCTGGCTATACAAAGGACATTTCAGTGATGCAATTAAAATTGAGACTGTTGACTAAGTGGGTACTCTATTGCTTTCCTAAAGAAGGCCTTTATTTGTGAATAGAGACCCACTGTGATAAGTTCCTCCTACCTATTGGTGCTGAGGCTGTATGGATTATAGAGGACTCTTCCTTTATTATGCTCCAGAGTGCTACCATTCTTTGTATCTGAGGAAATGCATCTGGAAAATTTCCTGATGTATCTCTTTCTGGCCTCTTTCTGTGTTGGGCAGATACTTATATGCTTGCCTGCATGGAGCCCAGGCTTTAAAGATTTTTTTTCGGTAGAAACTTTACTGTTTTAGGTATTAGACTCTGGAATCGCACTTCCTGGGTCCACATCTTAGGTCTGCCATTTACTGTCTCTGTGACCTTGAGAGGGTAGGTAAGTAACTTACTTACTCTCTGGAGGCCTCTGTTTTTTCAGACTTAAATGGAACTCAAGCGAGTTAATCCATGAAGGATACTTAGTCATCTTCAAAAAACCATAGGTACTCTCTTGCTCCTGTTTCTGCAGGCCTATAATGAGTTATATGATAAGTGTTAGCTGCTATTTTTTTTGTTAGTAATAACAGTAGTATCATTATATGGTGAATCCAGCACAGATTTCAGTGCATACTTTTGTCATTAATTACTCTTTTTATTTTAAATTTCCTATAATCGTCTATTAGCTCCATGTGGCATTCACTGAGCACCTGCCCTGTGCAAAGCATTGTGTTCCCTATTTAGGAGAATTAGAAAGGTGGCAAGATTTTGTTCCTCTCCTTAAGCCTTACAATCTAGTGGAGATAATCTGCTTTGAGTAGGGAAGAAAATATGTTCCTCTTTTGGGCATTTTAAGCAGTTGTTTTTCCTCTCACTTCAGTTCTGTAGATTTTAAGATTAAAAACCATAAATGATTTTTGTTGATTAAAAGGACAGGAAGGAAACTCCATCATAACTTACAGGTTATGATGATTCTGTGTTATGATAACTCTGTGACCAATGATACCATCTTGAGTTTAGAGCTGACCCAGAGAAGTTAACTGGCCTAAAGTCACCCAGCTGGTAAACTGAAAGAGAAGGCATCTGAATCTAGGTACCGCTGATTAATAAAACCCATGCTTCTTCTGTAATACTGTAATCCCTCTTGAAGGACTTTTGGAGTTACTGACATTTTTTCCCAGAAAAAAATACTTACATAAAACATTTTTTAAAGTCTCCAGGAATAAAATATGACAAACTTCTTTATTATCTGTACCAATGTTTAGCAGCTTTTCACTCTCAGAAAAATCTTCCTTAGGTCTGACTTAAGTCTGCATGATAGTTTAAACCAGTGTCCTCTTGTTTTTTCCTTAGTAGAAATAGAGAATATCTGTGTACCGTTTTGTTCTAACAACTTTAACTATAAAGATCAGGGGCAGATTGTTTAGAAATGAGGAAATCTGGGCTCTAATAGAGCTTTTGCCATTACCTAGCTGTGTGGCCATGGGCGAGTCAGATACCTCTCTGCACCCCCTGGTTTCCAGCAAAGTGCAAGTACTCCTCAGCCTACCTAATCATGGAGAATGTTTTGAGCACAGAATAAGTTAACATATGTAAAAATGTTTGGTAAAGTGCTTTACAAATTCAGGATACGATTATTGATATGACTGTTAAGAATTTAATGTTCATTATAATATGAGCTTGTAATAACAAATATGTATTATATACTGCTACTCTCCATCCATTACACATGGCAGATATTGTTAAATCAGTCATGACATTCTTGGTGAGTTTTACATGACCATTGCCAAGGGATCAGAATTAGCATGGGAATTGAAATCTGTGTATCTTCCTGTTATAATATGGTATGATAATCTCCCAGCCTTTCTTTCTCCCACTTGAATAGTTCTGCTGTCTGGCAACAGTGCCTGGTACATAAAAAGACACTCAATACATGTTCATTGACCATTGGTTACTCTAATTTTTCTTTGTAAATCTTGACTCTATTCTGAATGCTAAGCCCTCCATGTTTTTCTTTATAAAACCTAGAGTGTGAAACCTTCCTAATTAATGAATTTTGAATTCGTGATTTTGAGTTTTAAGTACTTTTCTGCTACATTTTTCACTCTACTTTGATTATTTGTTTATTGAGACAAGGTCTCACTTTGTCACCCAGACTGGAGTGCAGTGGCATGATCACAGCTCTCTGCAGCCGCAACCTCCCAGGTGCAAGCAATCTTTTCACCTCAGCCTCCTGAGTAGCTGGGGCCACAGGCATGTGCCACCATGCCGGCTAATTTTTTCCTTTTTGTAGTGATAGGGTCTCTCTATGTTGCCTAGGCTAGTCTCAAACTCTTGGACTCAAGTGATCTTCTGCCTTGGCCTCCCAAAGTGCTGGAATTACAGACCTGAGCCACTGTGCCCAGCCTAAAACCACATTTTAAAGTTGAAACTCAGGGCTGGGCATGGCGGCTTACTCCTGTAATCCCAGCATTTTGGGATACTGAGGCAGGCGGATCATCTGAGGTCAGGAGTTTGAGTGCAGCCTGGCCAACATGGTGAAACCCTGTCTCTACTAAAAATAGAAAAATTAGCCGGGTGTGGTGGCATGCACCTGTAGTCCCAGCTACTCAGGAGGCTAAGGCAGGAGAATCACTTGAACCTGAGAGGCAGGCGGAGGTTGCAGTGAGCCGAGATTGCGCCATTGCACTCCAGCCTGGGCAACAGAGCAAGACTCTATCTCAAAAAAATAAAAAACAAAATAAAGACCAAACTCAGGAATGTATATACAATTTTCCCATGTTCCACTCATACAAATATTTGATTCCCACCTAAAACTGGACATAGATATCATTACCTTTCAGAATAAGCTACCTTCTTATTTTCAAAGCCCGCTACAATTTTATTTATTTTCATTTTATTCTTGAAGGTAGGTGATTAATTGGCTGGTTCTGAAAGCCCATCTTTTGGGTCACAGGCCTGAAAGGCAAAGTAAGTAAATAGTAATCTGCTTACCTAGTTTAATTAATTAAATCACAAAGAACTTCAAACCATCTCTATAAGATAGTAATAAATTTAATCATAGTTGATACCTTATGAAAACCCTTTTTAGACTTTCCATTACTCTGCCTTAAAGGGCAGTGCGGCATTGCTGATTCATAATCTAGGTCTTAGGGTATTTTCTTGGTGTCTTTTCTCTCCTGATGTCTGAAGTTCATTTCTAACTACATTTTTTTTTTTTCATTTTAATGCGACTTTTTTTCTGTGATGTAGCGTTTACTCATTTTTTGGTGTCAATTGCTGTTTATTAAACCTACTACCTTTGCCTAGATCAGAGATGAAAATGTTAACCTAGGACTAACTAACTGACCAGATCACCAGCTGTTGCTAAAATAAATAGTACATGGTTCCTTGTGTTGACACTCAATACATTGATAATTATTCCACACTCTAGAGTTAAATGCCCCCTTATTGGATTCAGACTGTATTTTTCCATATATTATGATTATATAAATATTTGGTAAACTTAAAATCTAAAACTTTGCTAAAATTAAGAGGTTAGATTACTTCTCCTTGAGCTACTACATCTGTCCCTCTATAAAAGAAGGGAATAAGATTCGTTTGACCAGACGTGTTCTTCACGAAGCATGTTGTCTCTTGTTCTGTAGGTGACTACAGTAGATTTTGTGATTATTTTTCATAGACCTAGACCTGGAAGTAAATTTTGAAAGTCTTTAATTTACATCCTCTGTCTTTGCTTTTTTTAAAACATGACACCAAACTGGCCCTTTTACAATCTTCAGTGCTTCACATTCTCTTATGTAAAGTCTTGACTGCACTGTGATTGCAGGCAGCTCATTTAATATAGTCATTTCTGTTGATTGATTTATTATATTGGAGAATGAAAGTTTTCAGGGCCAGCCGATGTGAATGTTTTAGGTCAATCACTTTGTGCTGAATTTTCTATTTTTTCTTAATTCCTTGCCCTCATGTCTACTGTTGGGCTTTCTCTTGATTGATTCTTTTAATTATTGGAGGTCAAGTTAGTAGGAGCTTTCTTTCATGCAGTTTATCAGCTATTATCTGCTTTCCTTTCTCTTTAATAAAGGGACATGTTTCTTTGTCTTTCTGTTCATATAGTTTTTTTCGCATTTTTTCCCTTGTAGATATTTCAGATGTCAGGATAGTAGAAGGTGTGTTGGTGAAGAATTAAGGATCTGGGTCCTAGATTCAGTTCTTTCACTGGCTGTGTAACCTTAGGCAAGTCATTTCAGCTCTCCGAGCTTCTGTTTCCTTGTCTTTAAAATAAAGAAATTATTATTTCCTATCCTGACCTACATTTCTCTATTCTATTCATGTTCTTGTATTTCTAAATTTACACCTCCCATTTTCACTATTTCTTTGTGCTTCTCAATTTGTCTTCCTACTCCTACTAGTTTTTTCATATGGCTTACCATTAGAATCTACTTACTTTTATTAGAAAGTGTTAGGAAATGTTTCAGGCCGGGTACAGTGGCTCATGCCTATCATCCCAGCACTTTGGGAGGCTGAGGCGGGCAGATTACCTGAGCTCAGGAGTTCAAGACCAGCCTGGCTAGCATGGCGAAACCGTGTCTCTACTACAAATACAAAAAAATTAGCCGGGCATGGTGGCACATGCCTGTTACTCAAGAGCTACTCAGGAGGCTGAGGCACGAGAATCGCTTGAACCCAGGAGGCGGAGGTTGCAGTAAGCCAAGATCACACCACTGCACTCCACCCTGGGTGACAGAGTGAGACTCCATCTCCAAAAAAAAAAAAAAAAAAAAAATTCAGAATTCTGAACTTTCCAGATTTTAGAAAGCTAGTATGGTATCTGTGTCTTATAACACCAAAATCAAGACACATTAATATTTCTGCAGCAGAGTGTGTGACTGTTCACATTAAATGGGATATGTTAAGACTATAAATGGCTTCGTATCCTTTCAGGTTAGATTTGCCTCCATCAATTAATTTTGGCCCCAAGCTTTAAAGAAAGCAATAACTTTGTTTTCAGAATTGTTTTGATTTTGGAATTGTGTGTTATGGGCAGTCATATTTTTCTACTGCTCTTGGATCTCTTCCGTCTTCTCATATTACTCTTATGATTTAAGTTTCACACCTTATTGAAAAATTGGAGTTCTAATAATTTACTTTTCTGGTTTCTTCATTTTTCCTTGGGATATAGAACCAGATTTTGATTGCTTTCATCCATTGCCTTTAGATCCCCTCCTAACTTCTCCATGTTTGTAAGAATCAAGACCATGCTGCCTTCCTAAGAAATTCTGGAATCCTTTAGACCAGCCAGTTATCCTTTGTGTCTCCTAGGGAACCCCAGTGCAGTTCAAGCCTGCCTCAGTTCCAAGGCACTCTACCAGCCTTCATTCAGTTTGCAATTTGCAGACCACTGTTTTTTGGCTCAACTTTGCTGCTATATTCAGATAATGCCACAAGATGGTGCCCAAATAGCAGTGAATTTCTTTTTCTCATATTTCCAAGTGCCAGTCAGCTTCGTAACCAACTTCTTTGCCCTTAAAGTATAGTCAGATATAGGGTAGGAATGTTGTAAGGGATTCTGCTGATGAGGAAAGATATATCAGAATAGCAAGTGTTTATTCTAAATTCATCTCGATTTCTGTAATCTCCCTGATTCATGACTTGCTGAATCTTATACAGGCATTATCAATTTGGAACAATAAGAAGGAAACATTTAGGCTTACCATCAATCATGTAGGCTTATCACCATTTTATGGTTTCAAGATAAATGACTAGCCATGCAATTGGAACTGGTATTGTGGCACCTAAAGGAGTGCTTGAGTCACCAGACTGTTGTATGGTCCGTATTTTCTCAGACCTTGATGAAAGTGTTAAATGGAGAACCAAGCTTCCGTATTAAAAATTGAAGATAGATTATCCAAATTTGTATATTTTTTGTTTTTAGAAATAGTTTTAGTTTTCCATATTGTAATTGTATATTCCAGAAGATTTCTGGCTTCTGGAAGTGCTCTGAAAATACTGAAATTTGGTTTACCTCTGAAATATTTTTTCAATAAAGTTGTAGAGGGGAGATATGAGTAAAGCCCAGGGGCTACCATTTCCATTTAAGCAACAAAATAGAATATCAATACATATCCTTGATACCTATTGAAATATTTATAAAGATCAGTAAGCTGGGAATAATGGGCAATTGTGTTGAAGCACTAAACATAGTTGAAAAGTAGAATTTAAATATGTATTAGCAAGACTGGAATCTGAGTCCTACTAGATTCTGATTTATTCCATATACTTCTATTAGCCTCAGATATTTTTTATTATATAGTAATAAATGTAATGGCTTATAGTAGTATCATTTTCACTTACAAAGCACTTAGGAAGTTAAAGGAATTAACTCTTGGAATCAGGTAAGAGAGACCAAGATATCCACTTGTCTCATGACGAAAGTTTGCCTTGTAATTTGGATTAAGGGAAAGTCATTGATTATATGAAATAGACAACCATGGTTAACACTGCTCTTATTTACAGAGAGAAAGCGGTTGGAAGCCAAGCAACGAGAAGACATCTGGGAAGGCAGAGACCAGTCTGCAGTTTGAACATCACTCAATGAAAAGGATAATTCCATGAATCAGAAAATGTTTCCATAGTCTTCAGATAAGAGGATCCTTCCAGAGCTCTGTGTACATGCAGATGTGCATGTTAAAGAGATAAAGTGATCGAGACAAGGACTGACTGGGTATAGAAGGAAGACAGACTCCTGTCTTTACTCCTAAATGCAGTTCTTTGGAATCACCCTACTATGATGGGCATAGTAGGGAGCCATCAACTAGGAAGAAACGTGGGAGATGTGAATTCCAGGAGTCCCCTGGACAGGGCAAGTCATGTTAGGGTGGGTCACACTTCCAAGATATTTAAAGCAAATGCAAAATAGAGCAGAGGATTCAAACTGCAAGAACGGGAGATTTAGGCCATGCAAAGGCAGAGAGCATTCCTTAGTACCTCACAAAACAGAATAATACTGGAGGCAGAGTAGGGGGTGGATAGAGAGTGGTTAGTACAAAGAGACAGAACAATGTCTGGTTTACTTGGCCTACACAGAATCTACACTGCTGGTTCCAGAACTCCAAAGTTGGTGAACTACAGGAGATGTGGGTAGTTAAGACTCCAAAGTTTATACTGAGCTCAGTGCCTGGGACCGTTCCAGCTGTACTGCAGCCAGGGGGGATGCCAGCTTCATTCCTCAGAGTAAACCAACCTTGGGAGCTGTGTGCCAGTTCCAGTGTAAGCAGTAATACCATGTTGTAAGAGCGGACATTAAAGCCCATTTTATGACATATCACTGTGGCGTTTGTTGGGTTTTGTCATTCCAACAAGAAATACGAGAGGAGCTTTCTTCTTATCCTCATGCCTATAATGCTGTGCATAGGTTAAATGGATCTGTTGTTTTTCTTGAATCCCAGTGAGTAGAGAATTGATCATCTCTCTGCCTCAGTATACTACAAAAGTGATTATCCTGGGACTGGTATCTGGTAGCTCCTCTCCCCTTCATATCTTCCTTGTGCACCCTCATTCCAACCTTTTTCTTGCCTTCTGCCATCTCTGCAACTCTGATACCCTGAAGAAGACATGTGGCACGCCAGCGTGTTCATGGTATGATCTTCTCAACCTATGCCAGAGGTACTTGGCAAGCAGTACCAGACCATCCATTACGATGACAAGCAGCCAGGATAAAATAAACACCTCTGGGCACTGAGAGATTTCCTAAAGGATGTGGACAAGTCAAAGCCATCAACTCAGGCTTTGTCCATCTCATATCTGCATTCTCAGTGTTTTTGGAAAGTAGTTCCGTGCTGAAGAAATGGTAGCACTAGACCTTAGGGTGCCGAGGTGGCAAGAAATAGTGGCTCATTGTGCTTTCAACTAGGGCAACAGCCTCATGTTTTAATGATTTAGTGCCCATGACAATGATGGATTATTAGCATTATCTAGAACATGGTGGAGTAGGGCTCTATTCAGATGTTTCTCAAATGACACTAGCCTTGGATCTTGATCCTTACCCAACTATGCCTGCTGCTATTGAGATATTATAGCCTTCTCCCAGTTCCTCAGCATTGTTTTCCTCATTCGTGGTCGGTTCTACTAGTGTCCTTTGTTCATGTTCAGTGACTCCATTCCAGATTTAAAGTTGTTCTTTTGACCCTCTCCACTAATACTTTGTCCAGGTGCCCCTCTCTTTGGCTTTTAGCAACAAGACTTCTGCTCTTTGTCTTTATGGAACAGACTTCTCTAAGAGAGTTCTGTTTGAACAGTACGGCCCCATTTGAAAGGAAATGCAGGGAATTGTAGCCTGACTTCATACTGAATGGTATACCTCTGAGTTATACCTTTGCTCTATTTTGATTCTTCAAGGCCAAGAGTGACCTTGGGCAGTACAAAAGAGATGACTACTCCTGTCACTTGTCTGTGAGGATGCCTCTTTCTGGCTACACTTTAGCTTTTAAAGGCATTGTTAGTGGTAACATATAGGCCCATGTTTATTTCCCAGTTTTCTTGTAATCTTCATAATTTCAGTAACTTACTTTGGTTCTCATTCTAATGCTGTATGCTAGTAGTCTATCCTGTTTTTCAGCCAATTGTCAGCCACCTCTTTCAGATTTATCCTTATAACCAGACCCAGAGAAAGGATTTTTTTTTTCACCTACACTTGAAAATTATGGAGTGTTGCTGCTTCTACCATTAGTAGAGAATGTGCTTTTTAGTTACATTATTCAAGCAGTTGGGATTGATGTATGCGAGGTGGAGGTAAGAACTCCTGCTGTGACCCAGCACAGACTATATTGAGCTTTTCCAGATGGGAAATAAATCCTTGGGCACATCCAAGCCATGCTTTCTCAAGACGAGTTAGCTGGAGAGCACCCTGTAGCTGCCACTGGCGCCCTTGTTAAATACTCAGGAAGATAGCTAATGTACTCTGCTGTGCATATGTGTTGAACATCCAAATCTCAGGATTACCTGGAATTTAGTAGAAAAGTACATTTCCCATGAGTTCTGATATGCTCTTCATAGAGTGAAAGTCTTTGTAGAATAAAGGTAAGTTAGGCTTCTGAAGAGTAAGCTGACATTCTTAGCACCTTAGTGTCTCTGAGGCTAAAGTATGCTGAGGTGAAAGTCTTCTGACATTTTTGGTTCTGCCTGGAATTTGGTGGTTGGTATTCTGTTAACATTCCTCATCTAGTTATAAGTCATGCCAGCCACCAGTCTTCCCATGTCCTTCCCTTTCAGCTCAGAGTTGTAACAGCACAACCCTTGTATGGCCTTTTCCAAGAATTAGAACTGACTGCACCTATCAAACGTGTGATGTGGCAGCAAGGCCGAGACCAGAGCCGGTGGCTGGCTGCCTGGCCTGCTTTTTTGGGCCCTCTTAGAAACTGAATCCAGCAAGCAGCGGCGGGTAACCTCCCTGCCTGAATCTAGTCATCAGTCACCACATGCTCCCCTGCTAGCTGCACATTCTTTCACAGACCATTAGCTGCATGTGTGAGCATAATGTTGTTACTGTTTGGGGGATGCTTGCTGGATCCAACAGGAAATCAGTCCTTCCCTTGTTTACCTAAACTGTCATGCCAAAATATAATGCTCCCTCTGCCTAATGAAGGAGACGAGGGAGTTGAGGAGAGGTAAGGTCGGGGAGAAGGAAGAAAGCACTTCTTTGTATTCACAGAGGGTTCCCCAGAACATGTCCCTTTTTACTCCCTAAGGAGGGGGTAGCTCTTGTGATGTGGTGGCTCTTGTGATGTGGTGGGGGTAGTGCTGTTGTAAATCTGCTCCATCTGCTACCATTTATTTTGGCTTTGCAGCCTTGATTATAAAAGTTTACAATCCTCAGACTTTACCTTCTTGTCCCTATCCTTCACCCCTTAACCTTTCTGACCCGTGTTTCAGCTCTGAGCCTGGGGAGGCTGACTGGGAAGCAGACTTATGTCTGATTGGAGAAATGTAGATGGGCAGTCATGAGAAGCATGTGTGCCCTGTGCATCCCAGGCCCTGGCTCTGTGGGAGGGAAAAGGGTAGGACTGTGGTTTTGGGGCATGTACATAATCACAGCTGGTCTGGTCTTTGTAGCAGTCCATAATGAGCAACCTTTTTTGGCATTAGGGTGTCAGTCCTGTAAGGATCATCACTAAAGTTTGTCTCAGTGGAGAAAAGATCAAGAATCATGTCAAGAAGACCATGGGGTTTTATTCTACTTGAGCGAGAGAAATCACAGCCCCATCAAGCAGGAATGGTGGCCTTTCCCAGGTTCCATCCTTAACTACACTGACTGTTCCCCCTTCTGATTTCTCCATGGTCTTCTGTCTCTCACTCTGCCAGACTTGTTTTCATATCTCCATAGAGATGAGTAGCTTGTTTGATGTTCTTTCCATGGCAAAAATTTATTCAATGCAAAGTTCACTTCAGACACTTGGTTGGGACTTGTAGCTTAGACCAATCCTGAGATGCGTGGTGATCCTGAGAGATCAGACTGCCTGCCAGATAAATCGTCCATATTTTTTCCTTGGCAGAGGCCCTGACAGGGCCTGGGATCCATGTTACCTCAGCAGTCTTTCTGCTTGGCCTACTCTTGCTGCTCTGTAGGAAGGCCCTATCTGGCCATTTCTGTGAAACTTGCCCCTTCTCAAGCACTCAGTAACTGTTGGTGTTGGCCCATCAGGCAATAAGGGGATGCCCGAGGTCTGTGCTTCCAAGGATAACAGAAACACCCATGTGTGTGGTAGGATAAAGGTAAGGACACTAAAGAACAGAGTGTGAGAGGTGAGTTGTAAATAATAACAGATGAAGAAAGGATTGGATCCACCAGCTTCTCTGCCAGTTGTGATTTTGATACAAGTTGTGTTGCTTTGAGCTCCTAGCAGAGAGCTAACACTACCTGCTGTGTATTTTGGTACTCTGTCCTATACTCCTCCAAGACATTTGCAAAGCACCACTTAGATGGGGGACTGGACCATAGTCCATCCCTAAAGAACTGAAAGCTCCTGAACCCCGCATCTCTGTGGCAAGATTCAGGGATGACTGGGTTTCCTTATAGAAGAGGAGCTCAGCTGAGCAAAGCCTGGAAGCCATATTCCAGGCCCTTAGGGGGTAGGCCCAGTGCCACCCTAAAGAAGCAGTACCATCTGGATTGGTGATCTTGCCATCAAAAGGCTTCCTGAGCAGGTTCTTGGTGCCCCTTGGCACTGGCCCTTTTCCTCTGAGTTGGGACTGTGAAGGGCATGGCTCCAGTAAGCTGAGGTATCTGGTTATCGGCAGTAGCTAGGAGCGTGCAGTGAGGGCTTCAGATGAGGTTGTTCCTGAGACGCTGTTCTTGCTCCAGGGAGAGTTCTGCATTGGCTGGGTATGAATTCCCTGTGGGCCAAAGGAAAACAGGTAAGCAGCCAACCTTACCACAGCCTCATCCCTTCCCTGACAACTTACGTAGATCCACTCTGCCCAGCTCATCCTTTATATCAAGTCAGTCATGGCGTGGGCACAGACACCAGTCATTCTATAGAAATAGGCCTGGGACAGTTGTGTGGTTTCAGGAACATCAGGAAGAACAGGCTATTGACTGGAAAGGGCTGTGCTAGTTATTCTCCTTTGCCTCCCTCCCCAGGTTCGTTCTCTGCCCTTTTTTTCCTCTGTGCCCCAGAAAGCTGACCCCTAGCGATTACATCACTCTGGTTCCTTTGTCTTCTTTTTTTTTGTTTGAGTTGGGTCAATGGAAAGCAACAGCAGAAGGTCAGAGGGTGGAAGGAGAGAGGCCAAATATTCTTTCCCCTACTTCGGCCCTGTGGTTCTGGCAGTGATGGTCTTTGACTCCTGCTCCAGCTAGGTTCACCCTCCTTCACAACTCTGGCTTGCACCTGGCTGCAAAACAGCCCTTGCCCCTCTTCAAGCCTAAAGCAGGTAACAGTTTTCTACTTTATTTATGCTTGATATCTCAACACCCCTTGTTTCCTTATAAATAGTCCTTTAATTAAATAACCTCAGACTCTCACCCGAGTGTGCCTTCTGTTTTCTGCAGGGACCCTGTTGGGTCCTAAACACTGGCAAGATGACCTGCAGGACTGCATTATTTTTCTTGTCCTTGTCACTGCCTGGGAACCCTTGCAGCCTGATTCCAGCATTATGGAGGACCTGCTGTCTCCATGTGTGTAGACTTGGATTCTAGTTCCTGGTTCCTCTCAATATCCCTGTTTCATTTAAGTGGCAGCATAATCTACTCAGCCACACAAATTCAAAACCTTAGACTGTTCTTCCTCTTCTCATTTTCGTCCATCTGTTGCCACGGTTATTTTTTGAAAACCTAAATGATCTTTTGCCTCCTTGACTGAAATTTGTCAATAGTTCCCAGAAGCCCACAGGATAAAATCCATTATCTTAGAACTATCACAACCCTCCCTGCAAAAAGCTCTAGTACTTAGTAGGTTTGAAGTATACAGCCTCATTTTACAAAACAGAAAACTCAGGTCGTGATTTCCTCACTGTCCTCCAGCTAGAAAGTGGTGGGACTGGATTCCGGAACCAGTGACACCTTCCGAAGCCCAGTCCTGTGCTCCTTCTTTACTCCTCCCATCTTTGACTTTGGCCCCTCCTTCAAAACTCAGCTCAAATACTACTTCTGTGAAGCTTGTGCTAGCCCCCATCCGGTTACTTTCTGTCTGTGCTTGCTCAGCATTCAGTCCACACATTAGTAGTACTGGGGCTATTTGCATGTGTGCATACCTCATCTGACACTTACATTCCCAGTGTCTGGGGCACAGCGTTCAACACAACAGTGAGCCTTAATAAATGTTTGTTGACTGAATGAACAACTCTGCCCATCCCACCGCACATATGCAAGTATGGGTGTGAATGCACATCCCATAGCAAATATAGGCATTTTTAACCCTTGAAGATGGAGGGAGTCTTTACTGACAGGTAGAACAGCCCCTCTTCTCTGACCCCACTGGATGATGATGCTTCCTTTGACTGATGCTACCAATCCTTTAAGTGGCCCTGTTTTCCATGGTCCCCTTCTTGCAAGCAGTGATCACAGCTGGAGACAGCAACACAGAGCAAGAGGACTTCTACTTTTACCTGTGAGGCCCCTAACCCTAACTTCTACATGAAAGAGAAAGGAAAAATAATGGACTTGAAAATACTGACATGGCTTGAGGTGACAGGAAAGATTCTAGGACAGATTGGAAACTGAGTTTACAATCGAACAGCCTTAAGTGCACACAGGGATGTAGAAGATGTAGTTATTGGGTGAAGCCAATGGTCTGACCAGTTCTAGAAGTCTGCCTTGTAAGATGTCAAAGGAAATGCATCTCTCTTCCATCCATTGCCTTTTACAAACCACAGACATACAAGTCACACACTAGAGTGTGGGAGCAGAGGGTACATTTACAGTCTTCCAGCTCCCTGAGCCTATACATGACTGGTTCCACAGTGGCTCAGAGTTACCTGTGTGGCAGTTGTGCAGCCAGACCCGATGCCCATCATACTTGCAGCGGCACTGTATCATATTGTTGGAGAAATCTGACTCTGCCACCTCATAGTGGGGGTTCACAATCACCTGGAGTGAAAGAGGGGACAACTGAAAATGGATGATTTGGTTTCTGAATGAGTTGACTGTGGCAGTGATAATCCCTTACATGTGTTTCTGTTTGCTTCATTAATTCTTACAGTTACCCAGGAGGTAGGCACTGATGTTCCCATTTTACAGATAGGGACTGAGACGTTCCAACTGAGAAGCTGATTTATCCAGTGTTCACTGAATCAGGACTTAAACCCAGGTTCGCTGGATCCAGCTTGAGTGTTACTTCCCTAATAGGACAGCTCCTTTTAGTGACAGGCCTCTTGGAAATCCTATATGGGAAATTCTCTCCCTTCATTTGCCCTCAGGGAAAGTTTTAGAACATCTGGAGGAAATTGGGCTCTGTAGGGAATCCCCCAGCCACCTTACCTGGAAGATATAGTTCCCAGGGCCCACGTCTGTGATATCCACCCATTGGCAATCAATGTCATGCCGGTAGGTGTCCCAGCAGCCTACAGTCACTCCCTGTTCCCCAAAGTTGGCACACGCGTAGCGCCGTTGCAGTCCTGTAAGGAAGGGGACAGCTTTTGAGACAGGACCAAGCACTCTGCTAGGTCTTTTATTTGCTTTACCAGTTCAGTGTCATCATGCCTGGTTCACAGATTAAGGACCGTCAGAGCTAGAATCTTGCTATGAATCCAGCACCATGACAAACCACATTTGTGACAAAGGTATGATTCATTTGATTCGTTTGACTGCTCCAGTGCAAATCCCTGTTGAACTAGGAACTGTGGTTGGAAGATTCCAACCCTCCTGTGCTAATTTATTTGTGCATCGGCCTATCCATCCTTCCAACCTTCTAAAGATCCGGTGTTTACCATGCAGTTCCTAAGGGTTAGGGACTGCGGGTATGCAGACAGGAAGCAGACAATGCTTGCCCTCCACGAGCTCAGCAGAGATAGGACAGGTCTGCAACTCTTCTCCAAGACAGAAAGTGCTGAGTGTTTTAAAAGAAGAACAATGTGTGTGGGGAATTCAGAGGAAGTAAAAACCTCCCGTGTAAGATTTCAGAAGGTAAGAAATTGCCTTGATTGCTAACTTTTCAAGCCAGGGTCTCCAGGTGCCTTGGGCGGCTGAACGGAGCAGAGAGAAGCCTGATCCCAAAGGGGCTGAAGAACATAACAAGAGGAGATGTTGGTAGGTGCTGACAGGAAACCACATACCTGTGGGGCAGTTTGTGTCCTCCAGACAGAAGCTGGCCTTGTGCCCCTCAGCCACCTTGGAGCCATTGAGAGTGAGGAGGTCGTAGTGGGTGAAGACCTCAATGCTGTGGTAATGCCTGCAGAAGGGATAGAGCAGTCAGTGCGGCAGCAACAGGAGAGAGGGTCCTCTCTGGAGGGGCTGGTAGGGAAGACAGGCACCAGGCCCCATCATGACCCGAGAGGAAAGTTATAATATTAGGCAGTGCCCTTCTCCCTCCCAAACCCAAGATTAGTATGACACACAGCCTACTTTGTTGGCATCCCTGCCAGGCAGCAAGCACAGCTGCCCCTATCACCTAGGGTCTCAACCCAGGCAAGAGGTGGAAGCCCTGCCCTGGTCGCCTCCAGGAGGCTGGTGCCTGACAGCAAGGCCTGAACTGGAGGGAGAGGTGGGGCACCAGGTCTATGAGCAGCCTAGGAGCTGAGCTGCTGGGAAGAGGGTCCCTGTCAGCCTGAGACCAAATTGCTACCATTGTTTCCAATCCAGTTATAATGACAGCTGTGTTCATGCTACAGGGAAAGGTGGTTATTATCTCGGGTGAGACCAAGTCCCAAAGTCATTGCCCATTCCTCTCCACTTTCTCCACCCATGACTGTGTTCTGAAGAAAAAAAAAATGCTGCCTTTGTCACAGGCATTGTCTCTCCCTCTCTCTGGTCTGGAAGCTCCTGATAGGAAAGAATGTTCATTGTCCCTTTTTTAGTGCCAGTCTGTTCATGCTGTTCTTTGAGGGCCTTGCCTTGCTGCTGAAGGAACCAGCGAGCTTTTCCTGCAGAGCCAGCACCCTGGATGGGATGTCTATTTTGGGCCTCCAGGTTCCTGGGAGTCCCCACTTTACCTGGCTTCTGAAGGCAAGGCCTGTGACCCAACATAGGAAAAGTGTCAAATACCATTCTAACAGAACAAGTCTGCTGGCGGTGATGCCTCTGTGGGATGTTGCTGTGGGAAACAGACCCCACGGGCATCACTGACATAGTGAAGGCGAGAGCGATGGAGGGGCAGGTGGATGCCGCTGTCCTCACTGCCTCCTGCAGGCAAGGCCAGCAAGGAGAGCGCACACCCCTCCCAGGAAAGCTTGCCTGTGGCCAGGGAAGGACCAAACTGCTCCCTGGACCCTGCTTTTTGTTCCTAACCCTCTAGTGCCAAGGCATAGGCAGGCTCTAACCTGTGGCACTGGTGCCAAACCCAGCTCTCGCGTCCAGTCTTTGGACGAAAGTCTGTCCGGCCCAGGTTGTAGATCTGTGTGGAGAAGCGCAGTAGGCGCCGGTATCCATAGGGCCAGTCCATGTGATCCGCAGACTTGGAGAGGCAGTTCTCCTCGTGGGCACAATACAGCTGGCTGAGCGGGCGGTCCTCCAGGTAGGCTGTCTCCTGCACTAGCTGGGCGTTCATCACCAGGTCTGGTGCACCTGGGGCAGCAGAGGTCATGGCAGTGACTCAGAGGGTGGAAAGGCAGCCAGTCTTAATCTCCAGCACAGGGCAGGCTTGCCCCCAGATTAAACCCTCCGGGAGGACCCCACAAAAAAAGGGCAGTTTTAAGAGTCAGGAGATGGTGAGTTCTAGTAACAGTTAAAGGAAGTCTATCACCTTAACCTGGGAGGCAGCTACAGTGTCATGGTTAAGCTTGCTGGGTTTGGAGCCAGGCCACCTGGGTTCATTCTTGGCTTTCTGACTGTATAATTCACCAGCTGTGTAACTGCTTAACCATTTTGTCTCTCATTTTCATCATCTGTAAGATGAAGATAATAGTGATGTTAATGTGATGACACCTGTAACATGTCTGGCCCACAGTAAACATGCGGTTGAAGTAAGCTAGTATTTCTTCTGTAAAATGCTTTTAAGCCTGTAAAGTGCCTTTATGTAGCTTAGTTCATATAATCCTCAGAAAGCTCTGCTGATACCTAACTTGGATACTTTGCCTGTACTGTCACTAAAAATCATTATCACTAAAGTAGTCCTGGGCGGAAGTGAGGCCCTGCCACACCGCTGACCACAGCGTGCATGCCACCTGGGCAGGCCGGCCGCAGCTTGCCCCAGGCTGGAGCCATCTGCTCCTGGCAGTTGGCCCTGTGGGGTCCTGTGGTATATATTGGAGACAGCCAGGAAGTGCCCACTGACAAAGAGTTCCTTAGGGAAAGAAGGCAAGCTTTCAGAAAGAATGAGAAGAGGGAAAGAAAGCAATGTGAAAAGCCAGGGAGGAAAAACAGGTGGTTATAGAGGCTGCAGGTTGGCTGGCTGTGCCCAGCTGTCATGAAGCATCCATCAAATGTGTTCAAGAAGAGAACTGCCACTGTAGGCAGTGGAGCAGGGAGGGGTTCGAGGTTCCCAGGAAGGGGAGTTGAGTGGGGAGCAGTCTCCCCACGTGCTGGGAGGCCTTGGTGATAAGGAGACCCGTTCTGATGCCCCATCCCTGCAGGGGAGGGTCTGATGGATGGGCCCAGGGTTCTCACCAGGGTTCCCTGGACAGAAAGGAAGCCAAGAGCTCGCTGACAAAGGTTAAGGATGTCTTGGTGTTGAAATTTGGCCAAAAAGAACGTCAAGTGGCCACTTGGGTTGATGCTATCTGTAGCCTTTGGACCAGGTATAGTCCATCTTGGCACTGACCTGGTTGGGAGATGTCAGAGATGCTGCTGCCTTAAGAATCTGGGTTTGTGGGGCAGAGCAGTGCCACAGATGGCCTTGTCCCAAAACCTTTTGGGTAAATCCCACAGCTCAGGAAGAGAACACACAGCTGGGCCTTGGCCCCAAGTGTGCTCATATTTGTATGTCCTCTACGACAGCTTTCAAACTGCTTTTCTGACTACAAACCACAGTAAGAAATACATTTTATGCTGTAACCCAGTACACACATAGTTCCAAGGAAAAACTGCCCTTGCTATGTCCTGTGCTGTTCCATTGTTTGAAACTGTTGTTCATAACCCAAAGTTGGAAACGGCCGTTCTGTGTCCTTGTGCTTTCTCATGTTCTCAGTGTTCTTTCTCACAGTAACTCCGTGAGGGGGCAGGGTATGGATCCTGATGGGACGGGTGATTGGGCCACACAGCTGGGAAATGGCAGAGCTGGTACGTTCATTCCCTCATGCTGCTGGCCGTAGGCCTGGGACCAGCATGCAGGGCCTTCCCTGAGGAGGAGCACAGGCCTACCTGTCCCCAGCCCTGTGAGCCCTCCATCACTCACTGTCCATGCAGGAGACTCCAGCCAGGAAGCGCCCGCCGCCATGGGAGCAGTGCACCGGCCCGTGCCTCTGGCACTGCTGCAGGGCCAGCTCTGTGCCTGAGCAGCGCACCCCGCTCATCACCACCTCTTGGGCCCTCAGCATCCCCGACCAGTACCAGGTTTCCTAAGAAAACAGCCAGTGTCACCCAATCAGCGTGACTTTGGAGTCACCTCCTGACTCCCATCTGAGGTGTGGCCCCAGTCATACCACCCCCACCAGGTTGTGTCCAGCCTGGGCCCGAAATCTTTAGTGATGAGAACCCATATTCCCTGGGGCAGTCCATGACACATTTGGACCCTTCTGATGTTAGAAATCCCTTCCACGTATGGAAGTAAAAATCCACCCACCGTGGCTTCCACTACTAGCCCTACACCCCTCCCTCTTCCAGACGGCAGAGGAGGGTCCTGTTCCCCATTCTTCTGCCCGGGGACTGTGTTCCCATTTCCCTAGCTGCTCCTCAAGCGGCCCAGATCATCATTTGTGCTCAGGGTTGCCCAGTCCGCATTGTGCGGCAGCCCAGTGTGGGTGCAGGTGCAGAGGTTTCTCTTGCAGTCACGCCTAAGTCCTCTTGATTTTATTTTTTGACGTATTTTAGATCTATCCACTTATTTCCCCTGGACTGCCTGGTCCAGTCCAGCCTCATTTCTCACCTGGGCTACTACAGTAGCCTCCTGAATGTGTTTCCTTGCATTCATGTTAGTCTCCACCCAACTGTTCTCCAAACAGCAAAGGAAGAAATCTCTTAAACATGTGGATTGCATGTGGATTGCAAGCTTTGAGTGATCTTGCCCCTGCCTCCTCTGCCCTCATGCTTGACAGCACTCTCTCCAGAGCCACTCTACAACCCCTGGCCCTGATCTCCTCAGCCGAATCAAGCTTTCTCTGGCCACAGGGCTTTTGCATAAGCTGTTCATTCCTCCTCCCCCTTGTCTAACTTCTATTCATCTTTCCTGCAGACACAACTGTGTCCCTCATTGACCATTTCATTAAGGACTGTGTCTTCTTGTTCACTACATTGTTCCCAACACTCGGCATCATGTCAGCTCATAGTTTCACTCAGTAATGAATTGTCAAATGGGTAAAGAGGCAGCAGCTTTAGCACAGGAAGTTTTGGGCCTCAGTCCAGGGGGTGAGAGGTCATGCGGAAGAAACAACACAGGGACCTACCTTGTGGGCATGGATGGCAAAACCCAGGCCGAGCTGTCGGCAGGCCACCATGGCTTCGGTGAGCCCCCAGTTTTCACTGCACACACTCCCCCAGCGTGGGACCCCGTTCACCTCCACCTGCACCTCCAACAGCCCCTCCTCAGGGATGCGCCCACCAGCCAAGCGCACCTGCAATGGTGAGGGGTGTGTGAGGAGTGGGGTAGCCTTGCAGGGAAGAGCTCAGGGCTGTGAGCCTGGAGGGCTGCCCAGACCAACTCACTGTGTCGCCCTAGACAAGATAGTCCCCTTCTCTGCCTTGGTCTCCTCTGTAAGGTGAGGACAGTGTAGCAGGTAGTCTCTAATGTCCCTGCCTACTAGAGAAATCTGACTCGAAGTGCCTGGACCAGGGGCTCTTCCTCCTGCTCTGGCACTTGCCCTCCACCATTAACGACAACTGGCAATTTGCCAAGGGCTTTCATGCCCCTCACCTCATTCACAGTGACCCCCTGAGAGTGTGAACCCCGTTTTACAGCGGCACCAGCGACTTGCTCACAGTCCACATTAGTGCTGACACTGCCCTGAGCATCCCACACAGACTCCCTCGTGCCGACAGCCCTGTGGCCGTCTTTCCCAGGCACCTTCTTAGCTTCACAGGGGACCCGAGACGGGTGTGGGAGAGCACATCCATCTGCAGAGCCCCTGTGACCTCTGACATTTCGGAGGGGCTGCAGCCAGGCCGGCTGTAAGGGAAGGAGACTGGTGCCCAAAGCAGAAGCACTAGCCGCTTCTCCTGGACCTCTCCCCGCTAGCTTGATGTGGTGTCCTGGGGGCTCCCCAGGGTTTCCCGGTCCCCAGCCTGAGGCCATGCTCAGACCCAAACTCACCTGATTCTGAAAGCCCATGTTAGGGACGTTGCACCTGACAGCAGCATCATTCTCATGTTGACAACCATTCTGGGACCCTTCTAGGGCAGGGCAGTCGCTGAGGGTCCGCTCATACCCCCTGCAGCGCACCTCACTCAGGTGGATGGGCCCTAGCCCTAGACAGGGAGAGAGGTGCTGTGTGCAAGGCTCCATCTCCGTAAGCCTGCACTTGTGGCTTCCCCTTCACAGAGGGGGAGAATTTTCTGTCCTGGCCCTGTCACCCCCGGGCCGTCCAGACATGGACCAGTGGCATACCCAGGCCTTCTCACCCCTCCCCAGGCCACCTCACTCACCTTGGCCCAGCCGGGCCCCAAAGAGGGCCTCCCTAGCAGAGCCAAAGCCCAGCTGACGACACACGACACTGGCAGAGATGAGGTTCCACCTGTGGTCACAGACCGTGCCCCACTGGCGGTTCACGAGCACTTCCACCCGGCCCTCGCCCACCTGGGCCCCGGAGCGCAGGCGCACCCTCAGCTCCTGCTGGGAGAAACCTGCTTCAGGGACGGCCGAGGAGGAGGCAGCCAGCAGGGGCTGAGCCACCACAGCAGAATCCCAAACGGGACTCCTTCAAGCTCCATGGCGGTGGCCAGAGCCAAGGGTGGGGAGTTCCAGTCCTGCCTCTGACTTCCTATAGCTGTCACCCTGAATAAGCTGTTTTTCTTGAGCTCCATTTCTTCAATAACCAATCACCACCACAGCCTCATCAAGGATGTCGTCTCAAGTGTGGCGCTGAGGCATCTGTACCACCTCACGAGGCCACCCCAGTGTGGCGCTGAGGCATCTGTACCACCTCACGAGGCCACCCCAGTGTGGCGCTGAGGCGTCTGTACCACCTCACGAGGCCACCCCAGTGTGGTGCTGAGGCGTCTGTACCGCCTCACAAGCACTTGCTGATCTCCTCTTTATAACAGAGGAGCAGGCTCAGGCTCAGTACTGGCCCTCAGTGGGATGTAGTTAGGATTTAATTACTGTTTTTACGGTCACCGTCTATTCAAGGCGGGTGATGTCAGCTTTCCATTTATGGTAGGGCTATATATGATCCTTTTAAATACATTCCAAGGTTCTACAGTTCTGTGATTCACTCTCCTCCTCCCAGTCTGGTTCCTCTCGCCTGCATGTCCTGGACCTCCCTGCACCCCTCACCAGGCAGGGTCCCGCCCGTGCCTCCAAGCTGTGGTGTGGGTGCAGGGCCCCCAGGGCTCACCTCTGCCTGGGACCCTTTGCGTTGTGGCTTTGTCTTCGGTGGGCGGAAGCGAGGCCCTGCCACACAGCTGACCACAGCGTGCATGCCACCTGGGCAGGCTGGCTGCAGCTTGCCCCGGACTGGAGCCACCTGCACCTGGCAGTTGGCCATGTGGGGCTCTGTCCCCAGGCAGGTGACCTGGTGGATCCAGAAGGAGTTCTTATTCGTCAGGCTCTTCAGCCTAGAAGACAACGGAGATTGAAGGTGGAGGAAGGGCTGAGGGAAGAGCTTCAGGACTAAGGCAGGCCAAGGTAGAAAGGAGGGGATAGAGGCCCTTCATGCCACACCCTGTTGCTTCCTCCCCCTAGGGTGCTGCTCCTCACCTAGATTTAGGGTCCCTCATCTTCAGATCCCAGACTTTCCTGTTATGGGAGAAAACAGATAGGAGATGGAAGGGGTGTGGAAGTCCCACCCCCTGCCACCTGGTTCCTCATAGTTGTCCTTAAGTCTGCACAGGACTTTACGTTTGTAAACTTGTTCATAAATCTTATTTCAATGCTGAGTTTCACAGCAGCCCTGATGGGGTGGCCACCTCACAAATAACAATTTTACAAGGAAGGCAAGCAAGGTCCCTCAGCCAGGCCTAGAGTGGGGACAGGCGGATCAAGCTTGCCCTCTCCCAAATCCAGAGGAAGGGGAGCATTTAGGGAGGGCCCAAGAGAAGGGGCCCTCTGGGGACAGGTGGGAGGTGAAGGCCGTGCTAGTGGGGGCAGCCCCAGAGACACCCAGGCTATCATCAGGCCTGCCCTCCTCATGGGTGGCAGGCAAGTCAGCGAGACCTAGGCGTGCAATTACCAGGCAGGGGGAGTCGGGCTGCATCCCAGGATCCCCAAGGATGGAGCCGGGGACTGGCCACCACCCATGTTTCCTCAGGACAGGAGTCCTCTAAGTCAAAGACACAAGGACACTGCAACAAGGGCCTTCTAACCCTTTAGGGAAGCAGGATCAAACTGATTGGGGTAGATGAAGCAGATGACTCACATGTACTATGGGAGATTTCTCCCTTGATGAGAAATACAAGTCTTCCCTGACACGGATCTGACAGAACCGTGACTGTGGCTGTCGTTTACTGGTTGATGGAATCAGCTGTGACAGTTCAGCCATGTTTCTGACAATATTTTTATGTCTCCTCTCTCCAGGCCCCCACCCCATGCCTCGCTTACACGCAACCCAGTCACAGCCTGGCTTGGACCAGAGCTGAGGAAATTCATGAGGGAAGAGTTGAGATATTCACAGTGGAATTGAGGATGGAGGCCCAGAGGCCCTCCCCAAAGCCCTGAAACCAGTCACTGGCTGAACTGAGGCCAGAACAGTTTGTCTAAACTCTACATGTGGGTGTCACTGAAAGTATCTGCAGGGAAGTCTAGGGTTTTAACCAGGGACACTCAGTTTTATGTTCAATTGTTTTCACGGGGCCGGGACGGAGAGCGCGTTCTGTACCTAGTCAGTCCTGTTTACATAATTCAACAGTGCAGTGTTTACTTTCTGACTGTTTCTAGGTATTTCCCAGGATCCTAAAGGTCCTCCTCATTCACTTTCCTATTTATTATTCTGAGGCCCCCATGAAGCAGGAAATCTGGGCACATTCCTCAGTAGGGCCTGTTTTCTCTCCCCCAGTCCCAACACCTGCTGGATGTCCTGCCACAGACAATACCACTGCCACTCAGTCCTCACTGAACTCTGCGAGGTCCCACATGCCACACACATCACACACTCACCTGTGTGCACACTTACTTGCCCCTTACATGAGTCCACACTCAGGCTCATGCACACACCCTACATCGCATGCAGGCACATGCACATGCACTCAGCCCCTGCCCCACAACCCTGCCTCCTGTGGGGCTTACACCAGCCGCGCTCCTACCTGTAGTAGTGGCTGTCGACAGGCACCTCGCTGGGGAAGCCCAGCATCCCACACACCACCCTGCTGTTGTTCATGGTCCAGCCCTGGTCACACACCTGCCGCCAGTGGCCCTCATACTTCACCTCCACGGCTCCCTCGGTCACTGGGCTATGCTGCTTGGCACTGGCAAGGATGGGCTTGAGCCGCACCTCCTCCAGCCGCCGGCCCTGCAGGGTGCACAGTCACCTGTGGGCCTCGGGACTCCCCGCTGCAGATCTTCATGCAGAAAGGCTGGGGCTTGGAGCTTGTAGAGACCATCCCACCCAGCCCCATCATTGAACAGGCCAGGAAACTGAGGCCCAGAGAGGGGGAGGCATTATCAAAGGCCACAGAGTAAGTGCAAGGCAGAACCTCAGCTTGTCTAAGCCCTTTCCCTCAGTTCCTTGAATTTGTCCAACTGGAGAGAACTAGGCAGATCTGGCCCTCCCTGGGATCAGGATGGGAGCCCTTGGAGTTTGGGAGGCTTCTGCTGGGCATGGAAGGGCCTTCTCTGTGCCACCCTGAGAGCGCTGAGATGGGCATAGACCAGCCACTTGAGACCATAGCAGGATCCTTTGGCCCACAAGACCCCCCAGCCCTAGCCCTGGGATGACTTAGACCAGTACAGAGTCCCCTTCACAACGTATTTCAGTGACCAGCTGTCCTGAGGCTGGAGGCTGCCTGGCAGCAGAGCCCTGCCCGCTCCTGTTTGGCTTGGGCTGTTTTTAGCTCAGGGTTGTTTGTGCTAGGAAGAGGCAGCAATTGTGGCCAGGCCTCGTGGATGAGGGAGCCCCTTACCCCACTGCTGTCTCCCTTATGGGAGCAGCTTCTGTGATTCCCAGTGGGGTCAGCTCTGGTCCTCTGGCCTGCCTTGCCTCAGGCTGGGGCCCTCTATTTATGCACCTGCTGCAGGGCACACTCAGGAATCGGAGCCCCAGGGATGATGCTCAGTGCAAACTGCACCCTGTCCCCTTGCTCCTGTAGGCCCACCTTCTGGGAGGCTCTCTGTCCTCTGACCCAGCCCTTGGCTCAGACCAGAGCCTGAACAGCCCCCTCACCTGGGGCCCAAGGGCATTGGAGACGGTTTCAGATAGGTAGCCACGATGGCGCCTGGGGTGGCATATCACCCCTACGTCTTCAGAGTGACTGCAGTCACTGACACCCCAGCCATTAGACCCGCACTGGTCCAGGGAGCTCTCCGTGCCCACACAGCGCACATTGTCCAGCCAGATGGGTCCTGTGGAGTGGGGGTGATGCTCAAAGATGGCACAGAGAGGCAGGTCACAGGCTCTGCCTCCTGCATAGGATCCCACACTTACCAAGTTACCTCTTCCAAACCCTGGGAGAAAGTGGCAGAGAGGAGGAAGGTTGGGTCTCCTGGGGAATTCGTATTTATAACCCTGCCTGCTACCTCCTTTGGGCACTGGGTCTTAGAGAATCTGTTTTTGGAAAATGCCAGGTAGCTGTAGGAATCAGACCTACCCATTTGCCCATTTTTTCATTCAACATTCTCTAAGCACCCACTGTGTGCAATTGCTATGTTCAAGGAACTTGGAGTTTGGTGGTGGTGACGGCGGTGGCCTTATCACAGGAGAGAATGGGAGGGTGGGAGCAGGGGCTCTGTGCAGCTGAGGCACTCAGGAAATGCCTTGTGGAGGAGGTCACGTGAGCAGGGTATCAAAGGATGGGTGAGTGTCAGTGAACCCAACCCAAGAGAAGACTGTCACCATCTCCTTGCCACCCCGCTGGGCAGCACCAGTCACTCACCCTCCCCTTGGCCATACTTGGCACTGTGGGCCCAGGTCAAGGCAGCTTCGAAGCCCAGCTGGCGGCAAGCCACCGTGGCCTCCTGGAGAGCAAAGCTGTCATCACACACGGTGCCCCACTGGCCCTGGTGCAGCACCTCCAGGCGGCCCTCCTCTGGCTTGCTCTCTGGGCCCACCAGCCGGAGCTTGGTGGTGCCCAGTGACTGTGGCCTGCTGGGAGGCGGCTGGCCTAGCAGCAGCAGGAACAGGGAGAAGGTGGCTGGTGGGGACCACGCCATGGTGACTTCAAAGACAGCTGAGGCCAAGATACCTGAGGAATGAGTAAACATGACAGTGATCACCACCTCTACCCAGATCTCAGGCCTCTTCAGCAATTTGGCAGCTCCTGGCAAGAAAAACGAAAGAAGACCCCCCGAGAGAGAGACAGAGAGAGAGAGAAAGAGAGAGAGAGAGTGTGTGTGTGTGCATGCATAGTGGCATTAATTGAGTCTGGGCCAGTTTAGCTGATTTGGTTCAAATCCACCACATTCGCCATGCGACCCTGAGGAAGTTTAAGCTTAACCTCACTGAGTCTCAGTCTCCTCATCTGTAAAATGGGGATAGTAATCTCCATCTCACGGTGTTGTTGAGTGTTAAATAAAACACCGTAGGGAAAGTGCTTAGCAAAGTCCTAGCGATGGCGAGTACACAATAAACAGCCGCTGTTACATACCTAAAGTCTTATGTGTAGGTAGACGAGGTCACCCACCCTTTGAGTCATGGGGGAGCCCCCAAGGTGCCCTCAGGTCAAGACTATCTACCCCAGGGGCACTGCCACCACCTTCTGATATTCCTAGCACCCTAATCAAATGTGTGAAATATTGCCTTCACCCTAGAAGGCACATGGAAGGCTGGAGCAGAAAGGGCTGAGGGGCATCGAGGACTCCACCACTCATTGGCTGTGTGGGTTGGGCAAGTCTCTTCACCTCTCTAAGTCCTGACTGTCTCTTTTTCCTTTTTTTTTTTTTTTCTTTTTGAGACAGAGTCTCGCTCTGTTGCTCAGGCTGGAGTGCAGTGGTGCAATCTCGGCTCACTGCAACCTCCGCCTCCCAGGTTTAAGCAATTCTCTGCCTCAGCCTCCCGAGTAGCTGGGATTACAGGTGCCCACCACCATGCCCAGCTAATTTTTTTGTATTTGTAGTAGAGACGGGGGTTTCACCATCTTGGCCAGGCTGGTCTTGAACTCCTGACCTCGTGATCCACCCGCCTCAGCCTCCCAAAGTGCTGGGATTACAGGCGTGAGCCAGCGCACCCGGCCCTGACTCTTTATTTCTAAAGTGAGGAGATGGAACCACATATCATCTGATCCCTCCTGCAGCTTGGATAGCCTATGATAGCCTCTCATCCATCTAGGTGTATGATTCATGCAGATTCAATATACATTTTTTGAATACTTGCTTCAGGCCAGGTGCTGGGACACAGAAATGAAGACATCAAACACCCTCCCTACCTTCATGAAGCTCAAGCAAGAAGAATTAGGGAAGCCTTTCAAAGAAGGGACACTTAACCTGAGCCTTATTGGGCAAATAAGATTCTCCCAGGTGAGAACAGGGGCATTCAAGGTAGAGAGAAGAGGACTAGGAAAGAGGGAAAGAGGTGAGTTTGTGCAAGAGCAGGAAGTGCCCTTCTCTTACCCCAGACTACAGTGTGGGGGCTTGGAGGAGAAAGAGATGGAGGGACGAGCTGGGGCCAATGATCAAGGGCCTTGTGTACCACACAGAGGGTTTGCCTTCATCCTGTAGGAAATGAGGGGCCAGCGGAGGGTTTCAGGCAGTAAACAGAGAGGGCCTCTGTCTCCAGGAGGCTGTAATCAGATGTTCTTTGGGTCCTTAGAGAGAAGATGAGGCTGGGGGCAGTTCCTCTCCCCCTCACACAGCAGCCTTGGTCCTGGGACCAGCAGGTGGAGAAGGGCGTAGAGGAGAGAGTCACAGCTGGTTAGAGCTGTCCGAGACCTCTGGAGCCACCAAAGCTGAAGCTCCTTCACCCCGAGGCTCTGCTGCCGAGGGGAGCTGAGGCCAACCTGGACCGGGATGGAGAAGACGGGCTAAGAAAGCTCATTCTGATGAGACCTGCCTCTTCCACGGCCATGGGGGAATCATGCAGCTCATCCGCTTGAGTGGGAAGGCTCTCACAGGCCCCTGCCACTCTCACTTCCATGCATGGCATCTGCCCCACTCCCTCTCAACAGCCTTGGCCAGCAGGGCCGGGCGGAGTGGGCTCCTAAAAGTACACTAGACAAGTTCTGGGAATGAAGCTCCACGGGAGTGGGGATGTGCTGTGTCCCCAGTGTCCAAAATAGTGTCAGGTGTGTAGGTGGCACTCATTCATATCTGTGGTTGCATGGGTGGGAGGTGGCAGCACAGTGCTTGAGAGCACAGGCTGGACGGTCAGACTGCTGGGGTTCAAATCCTGCCTCCACCAGTTCACTTCTAAGTGATCTTGGGCCAGCGATTTAGTTTCTCCCTGCCTCAGTATCTCCCTCTGAAAAGTGGGGATAATAATAGCAACTATCTCATAGGATTTTTGTAAAGATTAAATGAAGAAACATTAAACCCTTAGAAGAGCAAGCATTCAGTAACAATGAATTATTATTATTATTGAGATGGATTTTTGCTTGTCACCCAGGCTGCAGTGCAATAGCACAAACTTGCCTCACTGCAACCTCCGCCTCTCGGGTTCAAGGGATTATCTTGCCTCAACCTCCCAAGTAGCTGGGATTACAGGCATTCGCCAGCACGTGCAGCTAATTTATTTGTATTTTTAGTAGAGACAGGGTTTCACCATGTCGGCTCTTGAACTCCTGACCTCAGGTGATCCACCCACCTTGGCCTCCCAAAGTGCTGGGATTACCAGCGTGAGCCACCGCACCGGCCAACAATGAACTATTATTAACAGCTACTGTGAGAGCTATGATAGAACCATTGGTCTAGATTGGTCCCACCTCCTCTCTATACAAAGAAGGAAATGGAGGCCACGTCTGATCTCAACTGCAAGTCTTTGGTAGTCCTCTCTGCAGCATTCTCTAGATTTGCCCTTTTTCCCTCCACGCACACTACAGAGCCTAGATGCTCCCCTCTCCACTCCCTGAGACTGTGTAGGGGCTGCCTTCCCATTCTCACCTCTGCAGCTCTCCCCCTCTGACCCCTCCCACGCTTCCTTTCCAGACTGAAACACTGTCTTCTGCATGTCAGGGCCTGTGGGGGCTCCCAGCTGGCTGTCCCACGAGCAGAGTGCTCTCCATTGTTTCCCATTCCCTCCTCCGTGCTCCGCGGAAGAGGAGGTAGATAGCCAGGGACTGAGCCAAACCACTCCCCAGATGGCAAGAAAGGATGAGATGGATCGGGCTCAGGTCCCTCAGCTGCTAGGACCCAGTGGTCACACTGGGTCTCAGCTGAGTGATGATCACACCTCCTCTGCTACCCCCAGGAGTCAGGAAGCTCCTATCTCTGCCACCAAATTGTGTCTGGTGTCAATTGTTTTCCTTTCTCTGAGTCTCAGCTGCAAAACCTGTAAAATGAGGGGGTGGCACTCGAGGGTCCCTCTATACAACATGCTCTGATGGGGCCCAGCGTAGGCTGGGCAGGTCTGCTGTGTGACTCGTGGCTGAAGTCCGCGCCACGCTGAGGAGGTCTTATTACAGGCTGTGGACAGCCCCAGGCCAGCAGCTCCTTCCTCTCCAAGGGACCAACCTGAGGGCACGGGAGGGCTTCCGCTGTAGGACCCTGGGGTCTGGGCCAGGGAAGCTGCCTTCCATGAACGCTGCTGGAAGGTGGGGGGATGGCAGCGGGAACCAAGAGTCAGATGCAGGGAGAGCCCCTCTTATCGGCCTTCCTGCCCACTATAGGCCCCCCAGAGCTTTTGCTCACACCAAACTATAGCCTTCATCTCCCAGCCTCCAAGCCTTTGCTCTCTCTGTTCCTTTCCCTCTAAGATTGTTAAACTCCTACACATCCCGCGGCACCAGCTCAAATGCCACCCCCTCCATTAAGCCCTCCCACAAAGCCTTCCACAAAGCACATTGTGTGTTTGCTTCCTGATGCCACAACCAGACTGCACGTATCTGTTCCCCTAGCACTGAGCACAGAGAACCAAGCTGTGCATCCTCCCTCAGAGAAGGAAGCAGCCTCAAAAGTGGCCGTTACTTTCCCAAATGAAGGAGAAGGGGACAGGAGGGAAAGAAGGTGGAGGGGAAAGAGGAGGGGAGGGAAGTGAGGATAATAATTACATATTTAAAAATACAGATTAAATACTTATCTCCATTTTACAGACAAGAAGATAAGGTCCAGGGAAGTCAGGTAACTTGCCCAGTCAGGATTCAAACCCAGGCAGCCTGGCTAGACACCGGGCTCTCAAAACCACCAAGAATGAATGTTGGAAGAGGGGAAAGAGGAAAGGAAGGCAGGGAGCAGACTGAAATTCCACCGTGTTCTGGAGGATTTATGACCCAGGCCCTGATGTGAGGGCACTGCGCAGGGTGCTCTTTGCTGAATGCCACCGAGTGACAGATCCAAGACCTTGCCAGCTTGAGGCACAGAGGCACCTGCTCCAGGTGTGCCAGGAGATGCTGGGACCTAGCCTCACCTAGCACAGGTAGGGAGGGCTGGAAGACAGCAAATGCCTGTATTCAAGAGAGAGCATGGGGGGTGCTGTCCTGAGGGCGCAGCAACTTTGGGATGGCTCATCTCTTCTCTGCAGTTCGGCAGCTCTTCTCAGCAGCCTCCTCTCAGCCCTGTGGCCTCCCCGGGGTTACCGACTCTGGACCTGAAGCAGTGTCAACAAATGGTCTCTGAGCTGTACCTGTCCGGGCTAGGAAAGGGGGGGCTCAAAGTCTTCTGTCCCCTTCCCTGCCGTGTTTCTGTCACACGCCGACCCCCAACATAATCAGCTCCGGTCTGGATAGTTGGAGAGCCCAGATCAGCCCTGGCTCTTTGTCCCCCAAGTCATAAGTGTGACATCTGAACCCGCCTTGCCCCTTCCCTATCTCCTCCCTGGGAGAAGGTGGAGCAATGGTTACACACGGCCACAAACAAGACATGCAAGCACCCCTGAGGCCTGGGCGCACCACTCAGGGCGGGCCTTGGGCCAAGCTCCCAAACGTGGTTACTTGTCCAGTTGGAAGCAGGTTGGTGAGCGACTGGAGGGCTGGGCTGAGGGTCCATGGGACCCCCTAGGCCCAGTCTCCACGAACCCTCAGAGGCCTGCAGACCCACAGAAAGACAGAAGGACAGACGGGACAGCAAGAGGCAGACCAAGAGGCAGACGCGGGGCCAG